ACTTTTTTGAGTCAATGTATTTGTCTATAACAACTCGAGTTGAAGTTTTTTAAATAAAGAAGTTTCACTGTTGCCTTTAGCTTCATCACTTCCGCTTTTGGTTGAAGGAAATTGAGAATATGCCAATAATATGATTCAAATACCGTATAACTAGTTAAATAAAAAGTTCTTAAAAAGAGTTTTCTTATTGAAATAACTAAAAAAAATCTACAGTTTTAATTAAAATAAATAAAAAATAACAAAACTATAGTTTTTATTAAAATAATTTTAAAAAAGTTATTTGTAGATATTCCCCAGATTTGGTAGATTTTTTTCAAGTGGATGGTAAATATTTGTTTTCGTCAGTGGCAACCCTGGTTGTGACGCTTTTGAAGACGATATGCGATATGTACAAATATATGTATACAAATTGTAATTTTTTTTAAAACACTTGAAGATTTGTTCAAGTTAAGGTAGGCACCAACACTGTATGCATATCATCAAAAACGCTACAAATCAATAAAACCGGTTACTGCAAATATAATAGCCATTTAGGTATATATGTATTTACAAATATTATTGTACGCCTTATTTCGTATTCAACTAAATTTAAATTATAGGGTCAATGCTAGGAGATAAATGGATATTTGAAAATGTCGTTTGCATGTTAGAGTTTAATAAACTATGCCAACTATTCAAATCATGTTCGAACGAACGATATTACATTGCATTACCGTTAATTGAATTTTAAGTGGTACTAAATTTGGCATTGACTCAACGGTGTTGATCACAGATTCAAAGACACGAAAAATATAAATAAAACAAAGAAGCCATTACTGTCAACGTTTACAGCTGAAAACTATTTTAATTAATTTAATTTGTTTGAAAAAAATATTACACAATTACATTTCATTCATTTCTTTTCGTCACATGAAAGGGTAAAAAGGTTGTAGTTTTTTTATTTCTCATCTTCTCTGATCAAGTGTGAATTGCAGCGGAATAGCTGTGCTTGATTGCAACTGGCTGAGTCAGTGGGATCGTCGGTTCGAATCCTACTGAAAGAAGTCTGATGAGGAAATGTGATGATTTCCGAAATAGCTATCACTTCTACCATTTTTCGAATTATTTTTGCTTTTCCACAATAAGTTTTTCATTAAAAATGGCCTCAAGCTCAATAAAAGTTGTTAAATATAATTGTTATAAGGCCATAAAATAACAAAAACGAAAAGTGTTTTTGTCAATATTTACTCGAAATAAAAACGTGCTTTAAAAATTCGATTAATCGATTATTTCTCAATAACTGCAGTTAATTGCAATTCATTTTTTTTGCTTGTAATTAATCATATATTATTATTAGTTTATTTTTTTATCATCCCTAATTACAGTCAACAATGTGCCGAGCCCGCTGGGCGGTAAAAATAGAAATAAATTTAAATCAACCGAAAAAACGTTGGCGGTAAAAACGTTAAAGATTACTTTTCTTGTGATAAAAAAATAATCGATTAACCAATCAGGTGATAAGTAACCTAATCGAAAAACCCCACACCCCCAATTGTACTCGAAAGTCGTCACTTCGCTCGAAAATTTGCAAATGGCAACACTGATGCGGACGTTTTCTATTTATTTTTTTTTTGTTTTCGCTGACTCTATATTTCACATCTTAATTGCCCGTTTTAGAAAACATTTTCTACAAAACTGCATGTATACTAACACTCAAATTCATAAAAATAAAGACGACTTTTATCTACTTTATAAATCGAAAATTTTTATGAAAATGTCACTGTATAGAGCTCTACAAATCTATTTTATTTTTTATGAATAAGGTAACACACTTTTTTCTAAAATGGAATTTGGAATTCCCATTTTTGAAGATTTTGTTGTAGTATTCGCCATAATTTTATATAGAGTTATTTTTAAGAGGCTTCCCTGAATCTCGCTGGAGTTGGAAAAAACGAATTTTGCTCCTTCAACTTCAAGTTCTCCTGCTTTGGATTTCTCATACACAGAATACAATTTTAAATTTATGCTTAATGAATTGTTAAATTACTTTGTACAAAATACAAAAATTTAAAATTTACCCAAAAGTTATTCTTAAAAAATTTTCCACTCGCAACAATCATATGATTTCCGTAGAAAATCCTTTACTTCCGCAGCATACTTAACTGTTGTAGCAATCAACAACGAACTGTTACAGTTGCTGTCATTATTGGCATTTACGATTTTTTGTTTGTTTGTTTCTTCTTTCATTTTGCCAGTTTGTTGAATGCAACCTAGAAAGCTTTGAAGTTGAATGTACAAATGTATGTATAGGGGTATTCTCTGAGTCTTGCAAAGCCCTTGCACGGTGCACGGATTGCACGGTTTGCAAAGCTGTCCCATACGAAAACCGGTTTTAACCGTGCAATCCGTGCAATCTGTGCACCATGCAAGGGCTTTGCAAGACTCAGAGAATACCCCTTATGTATTTCAAGCTCTGCACTATTTTCCTCTTCAGCGTGTGATGCATAATTTACGCCTTGCAACGTCAAGGTAACTTTATTCAAAACGAACAGACAAAAAAGCAACAACAAAGTCGATNTCATAACAAATGAAATACATATGTATGTATTTATGGATGTATGTATGTATGTGTGCAGGTGTAAGGCAGAAAAACATGCAGCATTCCGAAATAAAACCGGTCGAAAACGACTTTAGGTTTCGGCGCAAAACAGGGGGAAATATATATAAAATTGCATAATATTATGGCGCCAGCAGCAAAAGTAGTTAGTAGTGTGGTGGCCTCAGCGGCCGCGGCGGCGATGGCGGCGTCGGAAGACCTGCCGGTTGCACGAGCACTACCGGTACGTCACAGATGTAGCAATGCGTTATTTTTGTTGCTCTATGATGGCTATTTAACACCAACCGTGAACGAGTTGAATTGTTTACAAATGACTTGCGGCGAGCATCGCTTGTGATGCCGTCATATTATTTTTCCATTGCTAACTATTAAATAAACTTATAATTTAATAATGACATTAAATGCCTTTTCCGCGCATTATCCACGCAGTGTACCATGAATAACTACATACATACTTGCATATGAAAAAAATGGGCAACATTTTTGGTTGATAACTAGTTTTCTGTGCCCAACAGGTTATCCGAAATTTTGTAACTTTATCCGTAGTGTCCGTAGTTTAATGTGTGTGTGTGCGCTTGTTGGCACGCCTGGCTTGATTGTGTAAAATATTTAAGTAACTGCAACTTGCGGCACAGTATTATACAATTGAAATAAATGAATGAGCCACAGACTCTCTTCGGATTTTACTAAATGCGCTTGATCGGTTGATTGAGCTAATTAAGATTGTAATAAAAGCTATCATTTAAATGTTTCTGAATTTGTTTTATTTTTAGCGAAACCTTAATTGCGAAGAAAAAGGGCAAATTTATCTGTTATGTTGCTTATACTACAAGTATACTTGCATTTATAGTTATGATAAATCCGAACTAAATAAAGAAAAGAAAAAAAGAAAAACACCACCGTGGCTTACATAAAACAAAAGACTTAAGCAACGAACCTGATTAACTAAATAAACATCGGGGACTCAATATTCAATGTTAATTTTAACTTTACAGTTGAATAATAAATTCTTTTAGCAAGCGATATATAAGGTCAGCATCAACATCAGTGATGACAGTTAGGTCTCAAACAGGTTTTCAAATCAGAAAATACGTTTTGTGAAAATCGCCGATAGCAAGTTTTGAACCTGGAATGGAGAAGAAGCCACTGCCCGGCTGATTGATGTCCTCGCTAAGACAAAAGCTGACATCACCGCCAACCAAAAAATGCGTTGGACGGGGAAAGGCAAGAAATGCCTTGGTCTTGCGACGTCTACTACAACTGTCATATAAAGGAGCGCAAATTGGGTGTTAGTGCTTGGTGACTTCAATGCAAGGATGTGCAAGGAAGGGATCTTTGAAACCACCACCTTCTGGTGACCAGTGGTTAGTAGATAAATGTGTCACTGGAAATCGTGAACCTGAATTGTTTGTGAAAATGTTGGACCAAAATGTTTCAATGAAAAAAATTTTTTGGGAGGGACAAAGTTCGCCAGGTCTCAAAAGGTGTTTGAAATATAGCAAAAGTATTTTTTTTTTTTTTGTTGCAAAACAGTTATGGGGCAGTATGACATTCCAGAGACCACTATTATGCCTATACATACATACAAACAAATGTACATTTAAAACTATCCAGCAACAAAACCAGAAATGTCTTCAACTAAAATAAGAAGTGAATATTTATGTACTCGTATGTTTGTATAAGGAAACGCCTGTGATGCAGAAAATCAAAAGAAAAAAGTAACAAACTAAAGGCCGAATAACTGCAACATTTGTAAAAGCAGAAAGTGGTCAAACAGCCATGACATATGTATGTATGTGAACATATGCACTTATACATAAATACCGGATAACTTAAACGCACACTTTATGGTTGCTGTTGTTGCTGTCTTTGATTAACAGAAATTGCATGCATCACTAGCAAAAGCTTTACCTTTATTTTTCTTTTCTTTGTTTTAACCAAATCCAAAGCCAAACATTGCTTAACTTTGTCGACTAGTCGCCAATTGCCGATAGCCATCGAAGACTTTGTCCAAAATCTTTAAGCATGTAGCGCTGCATTTTGCTGCGGATCGTAGTGCTTAACGGTTGTGGTCGCGTTCGTAACGGTAATCGAAAAGTAAAGGCGTGCAAAAGGTCCAACTAACTGGGCTGCAGCGGTGAAAAGGATATTGAAGTGGAAAAAATTTCGAAAGCGAAGTGCTTTAATACTCGTATTATAAATAAGAGTTGTATAATAACAGTTGTTTGCTTCATTCGACTAACGGTAGTAATATTAAGTGGTAGTATTTCAAATATAAAAGCGGGCGATAAAAATGTCACACTATTACGCCAGTTGGAAAATTCAATATAGTTTATGCATTTTCGGTGTGCTTTGTCTTTCGCAAGCTGCTGCCATCTATACCCGCGAAATAATTAATAATGCGCCACAGCTACAAGTGCGACGTAAGAATATTATTAATGGACTTTTATTTGTTTATGAGTGGAAAATAATGTTAAATACACTAATGAAGAGGCTTTATACGGATACTTCTTGTTGAAGTGATAACAATTTTTTGGTACAATCAAAAATGTGCGTTGAAGGCATAATTTGCAAGGAAAATTTTTTTAAGGACACGATGAAATCATATACCCAAAATGTTTAAAAATATACGTAAAAAGGACTAAAATACAAAATTTTATGAAAAATGTCCAATGATATCACCGTTCGTCAAAAAGAAAAAACATTTCAAGATACATACACGAAACTTTTTTAGTTTTTCTCTCTGACGCCAGGATTTTTTTTAAAGGACTTTCAAATTTCAAAATGTGATTATTTCAAAAAATTATTGAAAAAAAATCAGTGCAATGGGCATATAATGAAAGACAAGATTCTATAGAACTTAAGAAATTAATTTTTTTTTGGTTCACCAGGACGAATAGCTATTGAAAATGCTCTTTAAATCAACATTTCAATCCTTAAGGAAGAAAATCGAGGATTTGTCCTTAAAATATGATTTTTTTATGAATATTTCAAATTTTTAAGGATATTAAGGGATGAAATTTTAAAAGGACATTTTCAACACCTATTCGTCCCGGTGAACCAAAAAAAAAACATTTAGTTTTTAAATTCTATAGAATTTTGTCTTTCTCTAGGTCCCAAATTGTTATTTTACATTGCACTGTATTTTTTAAATAATTTTTTGAATCAGCTAATCATATTTTGAAGTTTCAAAGTCCTTTAAAAAAATAAAATATGCAATTTTATTGTATTTGGCACATAATTTTGCGAATATTTAGATTTTTTTTTTTGTGTGTAAAAATGATTGTTACACGGCGTATTTAATGGTTCCTTAATAAAAGATAGTCCTGTCTTAAAATTAATTGCGAAATTTATTTTCTTAGCCATAATTTACTAAACAAGATTTTATTTAAACAAAAATAAATATTTGTCGGCTTGTGTCTAAATTCTCTAATGACATGACTGCGGTTAAAGTACTGATCTTCTTCCTTTTTTTGTGCCGACCTTTAATTTCAATCTTGAGTTTGCATAAGCCGATATCATTTCAAATGAAGCAGGTGCTTCGTCTTCCGCCCATGAGTCCCACCATGTCAAAAGATCCTTAATGAAAAATATCCTTTGTCGAATATTTCTGAAAACCACTCAAAAGGAGGAGGATTTGGCATTCAAATTAGTGTCAGTTGACACGGATGGGAAACGATTGTGATATACTTACAGTGAACATAATTATGGCAGCCGAATGGGGGACTAAAAATAATTTTGCTAATTTTTTCCACAAAAGCTAGTGGATTTTAAAAAGCTTTTTCAATGACTCCAGATTTGGCATATATTTTTCGATATTTTGTGAAAGCTTTGGAATCCACATACGTAAACAAAGTTTGAAATTTTAAATTAAATTGTGAGCAAAAGTGACAATTTAAAGACGAAATTCTCGAAAAAAGTAATATCAGCTGCCCTACTGAATATTCAACGTTAAATGCGTTAAAAGAAACCTTTGAAAAGCTAAAAACTAGTGAAATTTCTTTTAGAAATATTTAACCATAATCATTAACGTCTATTTTCGATTCATACTCCCAAATACCCAGTTTTTCTCCGCAAAATTATAACTTCAGAAACCATCTACATATGTATGTGCTCCTTGCTTCGAATTGCAACCGTCCAGACTTAAAAATTAAAGCTCGTTCATAGACATGCCATTTTAACGCCAAGGCACCAAAATACCGAATATGGGATAAATACCGGACATTAGAAGAAATAGAGAACATTTGGCATCCCATATGAAATAAATAAATTACCGTCTTGGACGAAAAGAGGACTGACCCATATAATACAGGACGGATGGTCACCGTAGATATACTTGATTGAACTCTGCCAAAATTGCTTAGGCGGTTATCTAGTCAAGGAAAGCGAAGTGAATAGTATTTTTTGGCGAGAGATATTTTTCGTTTCAAGTGCAAGCAGAAATTAATTGGCCTTACCTAAACTATTTACATACATATTTGCAAAGTAAAGAAAGTTTTTTTTTTTTAAGTTGTACTTTTGATTGTACTTTTTTACTTCCTTCTCTATCCTTCCTTCTCTATCAATATCTATGTCAATATTATCTATGTACATATGCCAGAGGCATAGACATTTTGTTATACAAGTACTTACATATATGCTGCAGAATCGGTTCTGATCAGAAACCCCCGTTACGCCCTTTATCTTCAGATGAATGGGCGTGAGTACCAGGCAATAATGAAATTTGATGTGTAAACATCTGTGTACGGCTTGGCAAAGCATTAGGCGATTCAGTTTCATACAAATATAGGTTAAATTTTTCTAACTAAACATTAATTTCATTTCATTTTATTTATTTTGTCGGAATCAATACACGAGTTTTCATAACCTCTTCGAGAATAGTTCACAAATATTTCATAATTCTCATAAAATGATCTCAAACGACTACCGAAATTCTAGTGAAATAGTCCTGAACTAGTCCCAAAATGGTTTTGAAATAGTCGTGAACTATCCCGAAATTATCTCAAACTAGTCCCGAAATGGTCCTGGGTTCCCAATATGGGCCTAAACTAGGCGTGAACTAGTCCTAAAATGGTCATAAACTAACCGTCACCAAGTACCAAAATAGCCCTGAAATAGCCCTGAACAAGTCCAGGAATGTTGATTTGTACACACAAAAATCAATTCCAGATTTTCTGCTGGGTTACACAAGCGGCACTTACAAAATTTCTGCTGGATCAACGCTGGAGATGTGAACTGAAGAATGAAAGCGTATTCAAAAAATGTTTCAAACAAAAATGTGTCGTAACAGGAAATCAAATCCACACGATATCTATAAGTTTTTTCTCAGTGTAACAATAGAAAAATAAATTATACCCTTTTTATTCAAAAACGTTTATATGAAAAACCATAAAAATCATTAGAAAATGAGCGGAACAATTGTACAAAATTCCAAACTCTACGACCGTCTGAAAATTTTCGGTTATTACGTCTAGCCGACACACATAGTAATGAGAAACCGTGGATTAGAAAACCGATTACTTACTAAAAAATCTTGGTCACTACATATATACAGGTTAATGGTGTGGTTTCAAAAGTAAGACAACTTCAAGTTACAAAACACCACAGCACTATGGAAAACCTTATTTTTTATGTCGTGATTCCCAAAACTATTTAAGTACATACTACCTGAATGATATAAAATCCAATGGTAATACAATTTTTTCTGCAATTCCCCCTCTTTTACAGCATCCTGGCTGCAGACATGCAAACGCGACAATCCTAACGAAGATAAATGTTTTCGACGACTATTTGAGGGTTGCTTTCCAGCCTTCGCGGCCGGTGTACCAGAGATTGGCGTGAAAAGTTTCGAACCACTGCACATTGACCAGGTATCCGTATCGAAGGGTAGCGGCAATCTGATATTATCTGGCGGTTTTCAAAATCTAATAATACGTGGGCCATCAAATGCCACCGTGAGGAGAGCCAAGTGAGTCAAGCAAAAAAAATAAAATTAAAATAAAAAATACATAGAATGAAACTCTGAAATTTAAATACATATGTATTTATTTTAAACTCATCACCAAAATTAGTCTTGAGCTGGACAAGAAGCTAATGAGCTTTGAGCTGGACATACCACTACTGCGAATACGCGCCAAATACAATTTGAAGGGCAATATACTGTTGCTGCCGCTGATTGGTAACGGTGATGTGCGAATGGCGCTGAAGGATGTGAAAACAGCGGTGTACACCAAAATTCACTTGAGCAATGAGCCGGAGGTGCGAGAGAACTGCATAAGCTGTGATTGCCTAAAAATACTCTGACAAAACTTTATTGTTGTTCCTTTTTTATTGTTTTTTTCAGGAAGTCATTCGCATCGATGAAATGAAGGTGACCTTCCATGTGGGTGCAATGCGTATACATCTGAGCGATCTCTTCAATGGCAATGAAATATTAGCAGCGTCTATTAACAATTTTCTCAACCAAAATGCCAATGAAGTAATTGCCGAATTGCGGCCGGATTTGGAACTGGGTTTGGCGGATATTTTCCATGGACTTTGGAATAATGTATTCTCGAAAATGCCACTCAAATTGTGGCTGCTGTGATGATTATGCCTTTATATATTTATTATGTCCATCATATCTTAATAGTTGTATTTATTTGGAAATTAATACAGTACACATAAATCGTTAAATAGGTATAGTAACACACTTTTATTATATCATTTGCTTAAACTTAGTTATTTACGCATATAACTGCATATACAAATGTCTTTAGATTGTATTTTAATTAGAAAAATTAGAATTAATCAAATTGTTTTTAAGTTTTTATATTAAAGTACCTACAATAAAAATGTGTGTACTGTTTGATAAGGGGAGGATCAAAAACTTTGCGGAATAGAGGAATAAAAACCAGAATAAATACCATTGTTCAAGACAATACGTAGAAAGGGCTCAAATATGTAGAACAACAAAATAGATAACATCAGCTAAGGGGAATGAATATTGAGTTTCGTTCTGAATTGAATTCCCCACTAATTTAGGAAAAGTACGGCAGCAAATACATGTTTTACGGTAACTGCTAAGGACGGGCCGATTGGGCCGATTGGGCCGAAGTCCTCAACCACTGTTGAAGTGATGAGACTATGCACAAATTGGTTAGGAACGAATTGCATCAAGCCAATTCCAAAACCCCAGCCTATCAAGAACAGCAATGAGTCCAATAATTACTTTTATGGTCGCCTAGGACGGGCTTTAAGGGGCTCACTTTGTCACGATATAAAAACTTTGCTTGGCAAATTTAACGCTAGAGTGATAAAAACAGTCAGAAAGTTTATTCTTCCCCTCCTCTAATACCTCCGACAGCGGAGAGTCTGATCGATCTCGTCGCGGCATTGAGCATAGCAGTGAGTTTTTGCTTGATTTGGATGAAAGATAGCTCGCTGAAGGTAGGTTTCATCCGCTTGTACCGCTTTGCAAATAAGAACGTGACGAAAAGTGTCGTCGTGGAAAAGTTCCCACAAAGTCGAAGATGAAAATGGAAACTAGGCTCGGCGATGAGCCCAGATAAATGCATAAAGATGATGTTGATGTCTCTCCTCTCGGTCACGATTGACCCAACACACAAGAAGGTACATCCTTCTGTTTGTACCACTTAGCTTAAGTCCTGGAAGAGACCTTAGACAGACGAAGATCTTAAGTAGGCTGTAGAACCGATTTAGATAGCAATATATGAGAAGCAAACTTTACGACGCTATGTCTAATTTCGCGATCCATGCAACGTTAATACGGTGACGTTAATAGACGTCCAGCACAACTTTAACTTAGTCCAAATTGGTAAGACTGCTCCGAGCCTTTCGAGATAAAATCCAAGAAACTTATTTGTTCGAAGACCACAGAAAACCAACTGCCAAGTTGTAGCTTATGCTGCACTTCTACAAAGCGCTCTCTGTTTGTGAAGATTTATCTGGTCTTGAAAAAAAGAGTTTAATGTTAGTTCTGATGTACCCTATCAGGATGAAATATTTCAGCTAAGCTCTTGGCAGAAAGTTACTCTTGCATAGGATTCTTATTGTGGATCATTCAAGGAAAACTAAAACTGCACTATATATCTGCAAAGTGGCTGTTAAAGAAGTAAGGGGCCTAAAATCCCGTGGATGTACACAGCGGTTGGCTGACCTATCTATTCGGTCACCGTCTATTAGTCTGTTTAGACATGTATAGATCTGCAAGCAAGCCTTGTGAGGTTCAGCAGGCCTCTTGCACCTAATTGAGGTGGGCTTCGGATGACGTCGTATGTACCAAACGCAGCAGAAGTAGTTTTCTGGCCCGGGGTTGGACTCAATGCTCACCCGGAGAAGAAAGACGTCGAGCAATCCAGCTGCAAGGGATTTATTTATAGGCAAAAAACTATTGATGGGGTTTGCCGATATAAAGGGGGTTGAGTTGCCGAAAGAACAGCGGGGAAATCGTGTGTAGGAAAAGCTTCCCCCAAGCACTTCATAAGACATATTTTCGAATATATGGGCATGGTCCAGAAATACATCGAATAACCTTTGGATTCAAAGACGTACCGATGAGTGATCAACGGCATTCATAGTGAGTCGGTCACTATATACCACGTCTTTCGACCTATAAATGCCATGAGCCGAGCCCAGTATCTACCCGTTGTAGTCGCAGATCTTCGACAGCCACAAGAAACCTGCTTTAAGCGGGCCCAATTATTGTCTGGATATTGTAGCCGCCTAAACAGCTACTTATTCCAACTCAACGCCGATATCCCCAATGAGCGTCGGCCTACAGCTCACGGACCATGTAGCCGCGCTCTGACTTAATAGTGTCATAGTCTTTATACAGTCTATCTCAATCATCATAAAACCCGAACTGTGATAACATCTCCATATTTAGTCTGGCAGCATCTTCTCGAATTTGGCAATCATAGGTAGAACATTGTAGCCTAGTTGTCAACGAAAATTATGATGAAAGTAGTAAGGGTTCTAGGAAACTTCGCATCAGACGAGCTACACAACATCAGAACCAAACTACACAACACAACAACCCAGATCAGCATTCAGTGGATTGGTTACTACTGAATACCTACTCACAGTTATTTTTAATTTTCCAGATTAGTACTAGGTTAGATTAGGTTAGAAAGGCGTGTATGAATGACTCATACTTCCACTCGGAGGCATATTTGCCCATTTTGAATTCCCTCTATGAGTGCCAGAAGAAGGCAAATTCTTCTAACTGAGTTATTCCATATGTTAGTAATTTGGGTTTCCGAGGCGTGTCTAGCCATCTCATCAGCTATTTCGTCCCCTGCGATATTGCTATGTCCAGGAACCCAGAAGAGAGAGGTTTTGACATGACTCAGTGAAGCCAGCAATGACACTTCGAGTTTACTTCCTTGGAGCCTAATGTTGTCTAACTGTACAAGAATATACATGCTCCCTGATGGAGACTTACTATCCCGTGTGAGACAGCCCGACTTCTCTAAGTCAAAGATCTAAGCCTAAAAGGCACTGTACTTATCAGGCAGGCGATATACTTTTTCCGACAACTTTTTCCATCTTTGAGCCATCTATGTAAATCAAAATATCGCCATTTACCAATAGTAGGTCGCCTTCCTAATCTTCCCTGGTTGGAAAGTTTATGGGAATTTTAAAATAAAAATCCCAGGATGACAAACGGTGATTTGTTTCGACACCTAAGTCGGCATTGATGCCGTTACCACTGCGTGCCCGTTGTTGGTCTGATTCCACAGTTGTTGATTCGCTTAGTCTAAAGGCCCTTTTGAGGCTGCTTCATACTTGTGGTTTCAAGTAAAATATCATGTTCAGTTCGTTTTGCGATGCGTTTCTCACGGCGCCGAATATACCGATCCTTGCGAGTTCCGATTACTGCTTTTATCCAGTGCTTTCCACCAGACCTGCACGCCCCATAGGTCGAAACCGGTCAGAAGACTGGGATGTACATACCGTGAATAACATGCTGTGACAACCCCGAAAGCGTTTTTGCAGGTATAGTACGCTTCTAGGCTTTTCTTTGCTATTTCCGTTACGTTGTGTCTCCATGTAAGTTTGGAGTCCAACCGCAGAGGAAAAGCTCAGGCTAGTACCGTTTAGTTTTGGTAAGGGGAATTCCGGAACTCTTGTTTTCCTCGTGAGCAAGACAAGTTCGGTTTAGACCGCTAAACCCCTAGCTCATTTTGTTTTGCTAAACGCCGTTTCCATCAGCTCGCTATTTGTTGGAACGAATTTTCCGGAAATAAGTATAACGAAGGCAGATTAGTACAAGTAAAATTACGTTTTTATATAAAAAAAAAGGGCTAAATTTTAATATTTGTTTAAGGGATTGAAGGAATAACAAACTTCCAACACTTCATTCGGGCAACAAATCGTCAAAACTGTAAGTATCGAAAATCTTCACCGTCGAAGCGCGTACCAACTCAGCAATCGAACGCTCCATCAGTGGACGCAGCTCATCCGAGAGTGAATCCCAGTTCTCGTTCAAAAACATATTCATACGCTCGCCCAGCGCTTCATCACCATTGAAGAGATTGCTAAAATGCAATTCCGTTTTGCCAAGCGTGTACTCCACCTTGACATCCTTCACTTTGGCAAATACGCGACCATGCTTTTTGTAGCGTTCCGCCGTAATCAGTGTGTTGAGCTCAACATCGGCTAAAATAAAATTAAAATTAAAATTAAAATAAGCATTTTATTATATAAATAAGGAGACTAACTGAAATTCGCTTTGAAATCTCCCTCGCCCATCAGTGGCATCATCATAATTTTGCCTTTCAATACATATTTCGCATCCATGGCTATTTTAGGCACACCCATTCCCAAAGTAAATCTCATTTTCTCTGGATCAATATGCAGCTCGTTGAGCGTGAAATCATCCAAACCATTTATGGTGATATTCTTAAAGATGGAGTGCAGGTAAACTGCACCTGAGTCTTGATCCATTCTAATTTCGGGCACCACCAATGGTGTTATGGGCGGTATGAATAGCTCTGGTATGCCATAATCGAGAAAATCTTTCAGAGCCAACAATGACTTGCGTGCGCATACATCTAAGTTTGGATCATTGCGTCGACATATCTTCACAAAGGATGCTATGAAAGGGTAGAGAAAGGAAGCCAGAAAAAATTATAAGCACATCAAGAATCATACAACTTACGTAACTTTACGCGCTCCTTTTTGAAGTTGGGTCCAGCTAAACTGGCGCTACAGTAAATGGCCAGCAACAAAAACGCTTTAAATAATAAATTAATTTTATTCATTGCGAAATTTACACCCGCACAGCTCGGTGGTGAATACATTACTGCGAGCGCATAATTACTGGTTTTATAGAGCGCTCAGTTCCATAGAATGCTGAGTTTACAAATTTTCTCAAGCGATGCGCAAGGTGAAAGTCAACCTTTTCGGCGGTCAAGAGTTGACATTGCTGAATCTGCACTTTTGCGTTGTTTATTTTGAAATGTTCAGTTTTGCTTGGGAAATGTAAAGGGTGTTTCAAACAGAAGTTTCCGTTAATATATTGATTTTCTTTTTTGGTTATTTTACGGTTTTTATTCACGCCAATGTTTAACTCGTGATATTTGTTTCCTTAGGCGCATACTCCGCCGCACCAACTTTCTAGACGTTTTTGAGAGTTACGATTTAGTTATATTGACTCGACTGATATTTTGTAAGGGCCTTATTAATTTCTGAGTTATCGTATTACCGACCAATTTTACAATGGATCTCCCAAGAAACCAATTGACGCTATTGACACTCCTCTAATAACACTCCAAGGAACTGCGTTACATGGCAATCACTGCTGCTTCTTAGCCAATTGAAATTCTTAGTAACGCTTGACGGAGTATCTCCTGTCAAAGAGATACCTCCTCATGTGTACGTTTGGCGATTCGTTAGAAAGATGGTTTTCCCCGATGACATGCGGAGACTACGTAAGGAGACGTTTATTGGAAGGCTGGAGATTTCCCCACTACGTGTAACTGCTAGGTTCTGTCCACATTCCTGTTTTGGTGAAAACCAGTCATTAGAAAGGTTGCACCCGCTGTTGTGTGCGGCTTCATCTGCCTTGTGTGGCCCTCGTAGCTTGTATAGCTGACTAATGACTTAAGCGATCTACGCAGAGCTAAGTTAGCCGCCACAACAACAAAAACCGACCGGCTAATCCCCTGTAAGTCCCTTTGCAAGTGTTGCCCGCTAAAGAGTTGTATATCCTTTTCCTCGAGCAAAGTCTATTACCAAGTCTCGGTAGTGTATGCGGAAAAGGAGAAGAGACTGTCAAGTACTGCAATCGGCGATTTACTGTAGCATTGTTGACGTCGGTAAATTCCATGTCGACATTTAGCCAGATTTCCTTAGTTCATGTGAGGAGTGAGGCGGCAGATTTTGCCGCATTAAGGAATCTAATATGATCGAAGAGGTAACCAGTAGGAATCGTCGAATTGCATAAAAGTATTAGAACGCCGAAACAACAACTCTTGGTCAGAAAAACCCTAGTATACCAATACATAGAACCGGATGACGTGGGAGTACATGTCGGATCCCTTAAACCCATCTCTCTCATGTCGGACGCCGTCGAAACAGCAAATTTTCTGGGCCTCTCGTTAGTTAAGCTTGACGAAAACATTTAATAGGCTAGTCGAACTACGACAACAGCTTCAAGGTAAGCAGTAGCGTGGGCCGAAAATCCGCTTTTTTTTAGAATTTGTATTGGTAGTAGCAAAAATATGGTTTATCATGCTCTAACTAAATACAATCTGTATGCAAGGTGATAATTTTTGGTCAATATCTATATCTTAGGCTCACCCAAGTCCATCAAAGTTCAAGTGCTTAAAAAAATGTTTCTTAGCTTACTTCGATTCCCTACAAAAAAAAAGGTCCATATACCAAATTATGTAGGACTAACACTTTCGAATATAGGGGTACACCGTGTTGGGAAGCCCCTATTAAATACCATTCAGAGCCTGCTCCTGGGCAAATCGAAATTCACCTTAACTAAGTGAAGAGATAGATCCAGTACTTTATTCTACGATCACTGACAGGTAATAAACGCCATTTATAGACACACAATCACATCTTCCCTAGCTCTCTTCCCGTTAATGCTGTTATAGTTCAACCACCATCTATTGCAGAGCGAGAGCTTTACCGCGAGACCCGCGGTACTCTGGCACAATTACGGTCTGTAGATTGTAGAAAATTAAACTCATAATTGCTGCAGCGGCGCTACTAAGCTCTGCTTTAAGCGGCTTGTCTATCAATCGTTGCTGTCAAGCTCAATTTTTGCTTAAACGGGATCAGATAAACAGAGAAGGGCGTAATCTGAATGAGCTTAAGGGAGGCAAGTCAAGAAGTGGTAGTTGTCGTCTGGACATGTGTTGGGTATATCGAGGTAAAATTTGAATAGGTAGTAGTAAAGTCTGACACAGTATTGTCGCGGTAACTGCAGCTCTTTGTCTGCGAAGGGTAGTGGTTAAACTCCAAAAAAAAAAACCCTCAACGAAATTCATCGAAAGACAATCTAACTTTGCTATCGATGATGAATTTCTGCTGTAATTAAATGGTAGAAAATAATTCTGTGGCATTTTAAAAAGTTCAAAAAATCGGGCTCCAGACAAACGCATTATTTTCATTAAGTACATGAATTAAGAAATACAAGATTTTAAAGTGATTGAAAGTTTACACTTTAATAGGAATTTGTTAGTTCTTATAAAAATGTACATTTGTAAAAATAAGTTTTGTTAAATAAAAAATTGTATCAATTCTTATTTTATTTTAAGGCACTTCCTTCCACATACTTTTAGATTATATTCAAATTGGTAAAACATCTAAAACGTTTACCAAAACTTGGCATACTTGAGTTTTGAGGGAGCGTTTGCAATGCCAGCTTTTAGCTGAGAACAAACATACATATGTATGTAGGTATTCAACAAATTGAGCAAGTGGCAAAGAGCAACAGCCGTTGTTTGAGCTAATCTGCTATTTGGCAAAGGGCCAGGCCACTTGCTCTATTAGGTGAATACTCTAATTTTTTTTTTTTAATTGAAAACAGCAGCTTTGGGGTGAAGTATCGCATTCTTATACAGCCGATACGTAAACAGAAGAACATTTCAAAAAAGCACCATCAACCGCAAGCTGACATTGTAAAAACTCCTAAGTAAGTATACCTAACTAAAAACAGTTATGTATGTTTATATAGTTAAAAGTTTTTTTTAACAAAATCGGCGCGATTGCTTAAAAATATATTTAAAATTAAAATTCACAAAATTTACCACTAAGCGTTACATATATTTACATACATAAAATCTTTAAATATATGAGGCATCTTAATCAATGCAAAATAAGCCATTCGATATACAAAAATATACGCATCTAATTTGTTGTAATTTTTTTTGAAATCTAATAAATTTTACGCAGGGATCAAAACAGTGCACCTTTAAAATACACTTAGGGCCTTCATAAATTGTTTTTTTTTTTAACTAGATTTGTGTTTAAAAGGCGGTTGAATTTTAAAAGCAACTTGAAAAACGGTCCTTATTGTTAAACAATTTGCTGGCTAGTCTGCAGTAAGTAGTTTCATGCTGTCCATTTTGTGACTGACCGTACACCAAACGTTGCTTAAAAATAAAAAATAAAAGATTATAAAAAATACGAAATTTTCTTTAGTGAATTAATCGCTAGTTTGGTAAAAAAAATTAAATTACTGCAAATTATCAGCGTACATACAGTAGTGGCCATATAACTAGGGATACTTCTTCTTTACAAGTTTTAACCAACCAAGTTTTAACGAAAACCATGTAAATGAAAGTTTCAAACCTTGAAAAAGATTTATGAAACTTAGCCACATTTCAAAAAATGGTCATCAAACTTTCAAACATTTTAATCAGAATTTCTAGGAAAAATTCGGGTATGCAGTCTTGTAGCGCATTGAGAACTTTTTTTGCTGACAGTGTTGCTCATTTTCTCCTATATAAAAAAAAATATATTCCACCATATTTTGTATGAAGAAAAACGGGTAACAGCGTCGGCAAAAAAATCTCAAAGATCAATGTGTATTCTTAGCCGTTTCAAGCTAAGACAATATTATAATAAAAAGAAAAATAAAATAAATAACCCAAATTTGTAAAGAAGTAGTGTCCTTATTTATGTGCCCACCACTGTACATACGT